CTTGATACTCATTTACATAAATCAATGTTATCATAACACGTGATAAAAGTCCACGTGACATAAGTCACACAATCAATGTTCAATAATTAGCATAAATTTAATCTAAACAAACAGTATACATCCACCAATGGTTATATCTAATTAGCATTTTCATTGTAAGGCTTGTATCGAGTTTACCAGGTTTTACATGATATTCATGTGACCTGATTTCTAAAGCTGGATTGGCTTAGGCCCTCATTAAATATTCATGAATTTTACAAGTAAATGAAGTGGCAGCCATGTTGTTTTCTTGTTAATCCTAATTTGTTTTTTAACGATGCAATTAATGTTCATCCCAACTCATTAACTGGATATTATCGTAGCTTTCCGTCCCCAAGTCCAAAATAATGCCGTCTTTAATAAATCGCGAAGCATAAAAATCGTGGTTAGTAAAACAATCAACGCTCTCTTCTCGCTTTATTCAGATTTACACTGTTGAAGTCACCATTTGGAACGGAAAGTACTCCTTCTACTCAAATTAACTCGAGCGTTCAAGAAGGCGTTGATCAATTCCGTTCTTTATTCTACCTTTTATATCAAAAGAAAAACACCTGGTAAAAATTCTTTTGTAATATTATAATTTTCATTTATCTCGACAGACTTATCAGACCTCGGCGTTGAATGGCCTTTGTTTCTAGCCTTCGCATAAGATCAAAATAAGGCAAAAAATTCATATAGTTTACCTTCAAAATCAAGAGAAAATTCTACGTGATGTTTTTTCCTTCATAGAAACAAAGTTAGTTCAAGTAGAGGGAAAGAAAATAAGCCGGAAAAGGTCTGCACAAAATGAACGAAAATGATAAATAGAAACGCTGTTTGATCTGGTACTGTCCAAAACGAACCATTTCCAAGCAATCACTGGCGAGCGGGTTTTTTAGTGCATAGGATCGTAGGAAAAACGAAACTCTGGATTGTATGGTAGGTCAGTTTGATTCAGTTTTAGACATTTTTATTTTCTTAATTTTTAAATTATTTATGAACAATATATGTCAAGCTCACAACATTTGTATCTATCGAAAACTACCTTAAATTCGCAAAAATGTTTAGCAATTTCCAACAAAAAATATTATTTTAGTTATCGTTAAATGTATATATAATTTTGCTATAATTCATAATTTTTGAATTATTTATTAACAATATATGTTAAGCTCACAAAACTTTCTTAAATGTTAAAATCAAATCGATGCCAAATCTATCGAAAACCCAATTTTACAAAAATTTCTGACAAAAGTCTCTAATTTTACATCATTCTTTTAACAAATTTCTCGTATTGGATTTTGCTATAAATTCAAAAGTTTTTATGATCATTATTGCAAAAATTGAATTTCTGTGAAAGCTGCCCGACTTTTTAATTTGAATCTTGTCTGGTTCACGGTTAATTTTATTAAAAAAGTCAACTAGTTTGTATACGGTGAATAGTGCGAAAGCTTCGACTGAATTTTCTTTACATTTCATACAGTTATTTTTGTCTTAAAACTGTCGAAATTCACAACAGACTATGAGACATGAATCGCAATGATTTCTTTACATCTTGAAAGATTTTGAAAGTAAAGAAACCGGTTTTGAATCACAAATGTATGAGAGGAAAAACTTTCAAAGGGAAATTCTTCATTGATCCCAAATCAACTCTAAAACCCCAGGTGTGAGCTCGGAAGAATTGAATATACAACCATATTATTGATGACAAAAACTGAGTTTTAAATCTAAAATGCAAAAAACTATTCATTAATATCMCTCAAAAACTTGGGGAATTTTGAGATGACTCGACTGTTAATTGCGTCTAAAGACCTTAAATATATAGTTTCGAAAAGTACAGAAATGATTCAAATTGATTGTAGTTTTTTTTTTCACTTGGTAATTTCGTTCAATACGTACGGATTATATTTTTACCAAAACTGAAAATTTGCCTGTGAATAGAGATATATTTGACCATGGTTGATATCTAAGAACAGGTGGGAGGTTCAACTCTGTACATGTATTCAAGTTAAACCATTTCTTTGTTTTGTCTACGGCTTTGATAGTCTGTACTTACGTTTTCTTTAATTCAATTCGTGTTAAATCGTTCCGGCTTCGCTGAAATGGATAATTTTTTTCGTTATTTTATTGGTGGGTTACTGGGTTGCAAGGACGGATCCAGCTAAAATTTTAGGGGGGGGCTAATTGAGTTTAGGGGGGGCTAATTGAGTTTCTTCCGTCAACACAACGGAAAGTAATAAAAAAAGCATCTAATTCTTCAGGTTTTTTTTTTTTTTTTTTTTTTTTTCTGCTGAAGGGGGGATTTAGCCCCCCTTTGCCCCCCATCCCCCCTGATCCGCCCGTGGGTCGTTGAATTGTTGAGATGGTGGGTTAGGGTATTGTTGGGATCTTGAAACTCAAATCAATATCTTTTATTGGGTTTTAGAATTAAACATCTCAAAGACTTCAAAATGAACGCCTCGCCATCCTTCAACGTCACCAACAGTACTTCTTCCTTATTGACTGATAAAAACCACATCGGCTCAGACGATGCAACATGGATCCTGACCAGCGCATTCATCATCTTCACCATGCAATCTGGATTTGGACTGCTGGAGTCCGGAATGGTATCCCGTAAAAACGAAGCGAACATCATGGTCAAGAACGCCGTGGATGTCATTTATGGCGGGTTGTCGTACTGGTTGTTTGGCTTCGCGCTCAGCTTTGGTATAAAAGGTCGCAATAACGGATTCTGTGGGCTGGGGTACTTCCTCACAGATGCCGATGAAACACAAATGGGCGGAGTATTTGCCAAGTACTTTTTCCAGCTCTCATTCTCGACCACGGCGACTACCATCGTATCAGGCGCAATGGCAGAACGCGCCAACCTGAAGGCCTACACCCTTTTCTCGTTTGTCAATACCATCACATACTGCTTCCCTGCCCACTGGATCTGGGACGACGAGGGCTGGCTTCACAAACTAGGGGCTGTGGACATCGCAGGAGGTGGAGCGGTACATCTGGTGGGAGGAACCAGTGGGTTGGTGGCTACCTTAATGCTGAAGCCACGGAATAGAAGATTTGATCCCCGAACACCAGAAAAACAAATGGCCTCCCCAACTAATGTGCTGCTGGGTACCTTCATGCTGTGGTGGGGGTGGTTGGGGTTCAACTGTGGAAGCACTTTTGGGATCAGCGGTGCAAAGTGGAAGCTGGCTTCAAGGTATTTCAGCTAGATTGGGTTGAGTTTTGGCTTTGTGCAACAATATATCTCCGAACATAGTAGTGATGATTATATTATGCAAAGCAAAGCAAAAATCAATTTTATCGATACCCTGAAACAACCTCTGGGCTGATCAAAGTCAGGGCATGACTAACTCACAGATAGAACCCTGAAACAACCTATGGGCTGATCTAAGTCAGGGCACGGCTAACCCGCGGATTAAACCCTGAAACAACCTCTGGGCTGATCTAAGTCAGGGCACTGCTGACTCACAAAACAAATTGGAATTTGGTGTGTAGGATTTTAAGGAGAGAGGGTGTTATAGTGTCGTGTTTACTCGTTAGCGTATAATGACGCATGCTCAGTGTGTTTGTATTTGTGTGTCATGCAGGTCAGCGGTGGTGACGATCAACGGCTCGATAGGCGGAGGGATCATGGGAATGTTCTACAGGTATTAACACAACCATGAGTTATTACTGAGTATATCAAACACTGTGGTTAGTATGTATAGTTATATATAGTTATATTAACAGTTATTTTCCCTCATTAGTTACACGTTCCACAAAGGGAAACTCGATATTCCTGTGTTCGTTACTGGGATACTTGGAGGTCTCGTCAGTATAACAGGTAGAGGGAAATAGTGCTGTGCTGTGCTGTGCTGTGCTGTGCTGTGCTGTGCTGTGCTGTGCTGTGC